CGGTGGTCAGCCAGCAGCCGACCGCCCGGCCGCAGCGAGCCGGCGGTCCGGCCAGAAAATGAACCGACCGGTTTAGACCGGTTTGGGAGTTGTTCAGTATTTACTGACCCAGTTCGAGTCCAGTTCAGTATTTCAGTTAATTTTTCAGTCCAGTCAGTCCAGTACACCGGTATCAGTTCAGTTCGGTTTTTCTTGTCAGTCAAGTTAAGTCCCGAGAATATTCCAGTTAAATATTTAGATCGAGTCGAGCATCTTAACCATTATTTTCAGTCAGTCTGAGCGTAGTACTTAGTATTTGTTTATTTATATATTTTTACAGAGTAGTCAGCAGCAACACTTACATTATCAGTACAGGTGGGGACTCAGACTGGGTATTACATTGGTTATAATTTCTCTATCATGTTTTAAGGTATGTATATATCAGTTATTCCACTTTGGGTGGAGGCGCAGTAGCCTTAATTGCCATCCAAAGTTCTGGTGGAGGCGCAGTAGCCTTAATTGCCCATCAGAGTGTGCACATGGCCAGTTCAGTACAGACCTCGCGTCTGGAGATTACAGTTTATTTATATATACCTGCAGTCATGATATTGATATTATTATTGATGTTTACTTTAGTATGAGTTTCTGCGGAGTACAGTGTTTATAGTACTCACGCTCCCACTATTATGATTCTTTTCAGGAGACAGGGTCGGTCCGGAGGAGTGAGTGGAACGGGTGGTCGCCGGTCCAGTACATGTAAATATGTTTATATTTTTGCCGACTGTTGATATGTATATATTTGCCACCTTTTACTTCCGCTGACGTCTTTAGACTTTTAAACTAGCGTGTAAATTTTCAGGCGACGATCTGAGCTTTTGGATCTAGTTTTATATAATATCACGCGCTTGTTTTATAATGATAATCCGTTTTTCATAAATGGGTTTATAATTAACAGATTTCTAGAAAAGAAATATTTTATGTAGCATCCCAATATATGTTTCGCAAATTATAACGTAAAAGGATTTGCGAAAATCGCACTCTGATTTTAGTAAGCTAGTGGGGTGTTACAGCATTGATTATTATTATTATTATTATAATTATTATTATTATTATTTTTTTTTTTTTTTGGAAATTTCATTGTTTGTTGACAATAATTTGCCTATAGGGGGCAATTCGGTTGAATCAAAGTACATATGAAATATTCACCTCCTTATTTATTTTGGACATTCATGATATGTTGTCAGCATCAGCGCTTTATTTGATCACAAAGTCAAGAAATAATAATTATATACATTACATAAAATTAGGATGTTTTACTAATTTGTATATTACCATTATTATTGACAAAAGGCTCTCACATGGTCAATAAATATGTGGTAAGTTTACATTACTAGATTTATTTATGTATTACTAATAATTAAGGATATTACCATTATTATTGACAAGTAAAGGTCTGTCATAGTCAATAATATGTGGTAAATTGATGTTACGAGATTTATTTATGCGTTAAGAAAAAAAACTCCAAGCTATAATAATAAATAATATCTTTACTTGTACTTAACATTCACAGGACGATTTACCTAGTAATATAATGTGAAAATTTATCACTGCTTAATTGTGTATTCATCGAAAGATTTTTCGAGTAGTGTGGAGTGACCTTTTATTTGTTTATTATTTTGTTAATTGTACTTACATAAAGATTTATCAAGTATTGTGGAACCATTCTAATGATATTGCATGATTAATTAAAAGATAACAATTTATAATATATATATATATATATATATATATATATTTACAAAAAATGGGAAAAATTCCAACGACTTACCACTCTGTATGTACAACTGCACTTTATATATCCACACACATTCCAAATTCTTAAATATATATTTAATTTATTATTTATAATTACAATTATACTAGTTATTCTATACTCTTTGGTAATTCTTCACGATGTTGTATCATACTACTGAATTTATATTCGGCACAATTTCATATATACACAACAATATAAATAGTCAAAAACTATAAACAATATATAAAAATAGGCAAAACTAGTAAATAAATAAATGTCATATTATTACTGAATAGATGATTGTGGAGAATATAATTCATACTATCTTAAATAATTTTATAATATTTAAATAAAGAATATGTTTTGTATTGCACCCCGTGCATCGCACGGGTATCAACACTAGTATTAAAAAAAATCATTTTTATATCATTCCTAATGAAGTTGAATGACTATCTTATATGAGATTATGAGACCCGCCTACTTCCTTCTCCCATCGCCAATAAGTTTTGATCTCTTCTTCTTGTAAGTTGTAACAACCTACTTGCATACTTCTCGCCATATCCTCATTCTATTTTATTCCAAAATTTGGCTCATCAGATGTGATGGGTCTCCTCCTAGATCTGGAGAGAACTGGTGGTGAAGAGTTCCGACCTTTTAACCGTCTTTGAAATCGCCTTTGTACAGCTGCAAACACCTACAAGAACACAACACTGGAAGTGTTTTCAGTGAAGAGTCTC